GCGCGTCCCTGCCACTCCTGCGCGTCCCTGCCACTCCTGCGCGTCCCTGCCACTCCTGCGCGTCCCTGCCACTCCTGCGCGTCCCTGCCACTCCTTAGCATCCTCTGTCCATTTTGCTCTTTCTCCTGTGAAATACCTGATATCTGGCTTGGGATCTAAGCTCTTTGGGTATGAACCTTCTTTTCTCGGCTGGATGTGTTTTTTCAATGGAAAAGTGTTTTTTCAGGTTATAAAAAGTAACCGCTCTCCTTCCTTAGAACGCAGAGATCACAGGCAGCAGAGGGAAGCCCCTCAGCCGGGCGGGCATGCGTGCTCTTGAGCATTTTCCTGGACGCTCTTCAGGATCCTTCCTGCCCCCAGGGGCCTCTAGGTCCCTGGAAGGTGGGCTGTTGCCTTTGGTTTGGGAGAATCCCACCAGACGGCTGGTGAGGGACTTGGCCCCGCAGGTGCTCCACTGACCGTGTGGGAGTGGCCCACGCAGTGGCCCACGGGTGCCGACATGAGCTGGCTTTTCGTGGCTCTTGCAGGTGGCGCAGGGACCCTACGGATCTCTCGGGGACCCAGGACTGAGCAGATGCTTTTCCTGCCGACTTCGCCTGGGGTACCTGCTTGCCGGCCCGGGGTACCTGCTTGCCGGCCGGCTGGGGTCTCCCGGGTGCTGGGGTCTCCCGGGTGCTGGGGCAGGTGGTCGCGGAGGACTTGCAGGGCTTGCCGCAGGTTTTGAGCGCGTGACGCGGGGTGGTCCTGGAAGGGTGGGCTTTCAGGGGCTGCAGTGGGCTGGGGGTGGTGAAGAGGAGCTCGAGGAGCGCGGGCAGCTGAGGGCAGCGGCCGCCTTGCTCCTCCCGGCCCAGGGCTGTCGAGGCCTGAGCTTGTGCTGCGCTGGACTCTGTGTTTCCCGAGTCTGGCCCTGGCCCTGTCCCTTGGCCCCTGCTTGCTGTCCTCTCTCAGAAGGGACTTCATCCTTTTCGGGGTCATCCCTGTCCATCCGTCTGTGGGTAGGGCTGGGCTGTCGGGCTGCTGGCTGGGTCCCTCCCGGGCCAGGCTCCCGGGCTCCCTGCGGCCTTATAAGGTGCGCTCCCTGCGCGACTGTGACGGTGCCTTCTCTGGGCTGAGTTCCTGGGTGCGTCCGGCTCCACCCAGGAACCCTGAGCTCCTACCCTCCAGGCCTCTGTTTTTGAAGCTGTCAGTGAGGAGGGTGTGGATGGTGGGCCCCAGGCCAGGCCGAGAGCGGCGTGGGCTCCGCTGCCAGTGGGTGGCCCTGCTGGTGCCAGGGGCTGCGTGTGAGGGAGGCCAGGGGTGGGCAGGCGTGGCCCTGTGACTCCAAACCTTGGGGAACAGCATGGGTGCGGCTGCAGGAGGGGCACTCAGGTCCCCGCTGAGGGACGTGGGGATGTCCTCACCAGGCCTGTGTGCAGGGCGGGGGGCCGAGGGGGCTGCAGGACAGTGAGGTGCTGAGTGGGCTCACCAGCAGAGGGTTCCCTGGGACCACCGGAGGGGACTGGGGGGTCTGAGGAGTGGAGTCACCAGCCAGGGGACGTGGACTGTGTACCTGGCCCCGCCTGGGAGGACTCAGGGTGCCCAGCACTGCGTGGGGTCAGAGAGCGAAGTGGGGAGAGGGTGGCCCCAGGACTTAGGGAGGAAGTGTCCCTGCCTCAGAGCCCCTTTGCAGTCCCCTGAATTTGTAGGACGCCACATTCTGCGGGGTGCCCTGTGGGCCATCCCTGGCCTGGGCAGTCCCCGGCACCGGCCAGAGACACAGCCTGTGTCCAGG